CTTGATTAAAAAGTTGATTGAGTAAAATTGGGTTTAATTTTAATACCTTTTATTTTTTTGATTTTAAAAGTAAATTTAATTGATTTAAATAGGTTAAATTTTAATATGTTGTAATTTTTTCAAAATCTAGTCTAGTTTTTAAAAACAGTTACATTTAACCTTATGATCCGATGCATGCAAACGCTTCAGAATTACGTGAAAAAAGTAAAATACATATTTTGAAAAAATAAAAGTTGATTTTCACGTTAAAAACATCAGAATTTTGAAAAAATCTGAACTCGAAGTTCAAAAAAGTCAATTTGAAAATTCGAAACTTTAAAAACCTTAAAATTTTAGAAACCCAATAAAAAATTTGGAGTAAAATAGGTATAGTTAGATTTTTAATAATTATACAATTAGCAATGATTTTAAAGCACAAAATCAACATTTTTTTATTACTATTTTAAGTTTCTCTATAGAGAAATAACAATTTATCACTAACGTAAGTTATTTTGGTTTGTTTCGTTAGTTATTCTTATTTATTTTCTAATTCTTTGAAATTAATGCAAGACTTTTAGTTTTATCCAAGAATTAGGCTAATTTTAGTTTTATTGGATAAATAAAATAAAATCTTCGGTTTGTTTCTTTCAACCTGAAACATTTTTTTAAAAAGCCTTTGTTTAAAAAAATGTAAAAAAGTTCAGAATTGCTTAATTAGTTCCACAAGACTTTTATTTGGTTTTCAAAATATGAAGGTATGCTTGTAAACGCTTAAAAATTCATCGAAAAAATAAAACAATTTGAGAAAAATAAAAGCTTAGGTACTGTCAAGATATATTTGATTTTTCACAACTAACATTGTTACAAATTAGTCCTTAACCAAGCTGGGCTGAACCCCAAAATATAAAAATTTAAATCGAGAATTTTTCATTTTTTATAAAAGTCCAGAGACACTGTATATTCTGATGAGTAAATGTCCACCTTTCCCGGCTTTACCCTATATTTGATAAGAATTTAGAAACTCGATTAATTAGAAATTGAGTGAAAAAAAAGCAAAACATTTTGAGAAAGATAAAAAGTTTATTTTCACTTTACAAAATTTGTCAAAAAAATGTAAAAGAACTTGATTAAAAAGTTGAT